ATCGGGGGTTGGTTGAATCCATGGATGAAGAATCAGACATGAAAGAACTACATATGTGAAGGACCGGCTGTAAGTTACGCAGGAATTATGACTGCACGGAAGGTTAGCGCCCTTAACCCCCGCCACAGTGCTCAAGGGTCAACTGTACTGTATCTAGGTTGAGACTTGCAAGCCTGAGGGGTAGAATCCAGTAATATGCTGGCGTCTGAACCAAGGGAAAGGGGGGTTGGAGGGAGCTCTGTGAAACCCACCAGAGGTTGCCAGGAGCTGGGAGTGCATGTGCCACCAGGACCTCCGAGGGCAGGAAAACACCACACGTGGAGCAGACCCCCAAGGAAGGAGTCTTACCTGCCCCCTGAGACCTCACCTCTTAGACACAAAGCCCACAGACGAGGACCAACTTGAGGGCCAGGCCTGGATTCCCAAGGAAGTCCCCTTCCCCTGAGGCAGCCGCTCCAGAACAACCTCGTCCTCCTCTGCCACCCAAGGCTCCCTGAGAAAAAGACTGGGGAGAAAACACACTCACTGGGATGCTTTATGAGTGAATTCAATCCAATATCACATATTTACCCATTTGTTGAGGGTATTTCTATTTGAACGTGATCTGGTGGGGGCTGTTCCCCCACACAGTGAAGCATCAGAATGGCCATGATTTCAGCTGTGTCCCCGCCACACTCAGCCGGGCTCCCCAGAGACCCATTCCCCCCACCCACACGCTGAGTCATTGCAAGCAGTAAAAATGCTTTGAACTGAGCAAAAGAACAAAGCTCTACCGTGATATTTCAAAGGAAACAGAGGAATTTGAGGAGCCGTCAGCCATCCTGGTTTCACCAAGATTACTCTTAGTGACCTTCAGCGTGGAACCCAGAGTTTTCATAACAACTCTGCTTTCTCAAACTCCAGATCACCTGCAGCTCCAAACTGCCTCTTCTCTGATTCATGTGCAGACTTTGGCCAAGGAGTAACTTCAGGCAGAAATCAGTGTTCCTGCTCCCCACCGGTCTCCACCTAAGCCAGTGTCTCAGAAGCGCCTCCTCCTTCCTTCGGGTTTTACCTGCCTGGAACAGTACCCTCTTTCGGCCAGACCCCTGGCCTCCCAGGTTTAAAGTCCCCTCCCCAAGCTCAGTGTTGCCCTACAAAACTGCTGATGGCAGACAGGGCCAGTTTTTCCAGCCTGTCTTTCAAACATCATCTTAAGAACAGAGACTCTATCTTTGGAATATAACCACAGAGTCACTCTAATAAGGCTGAATTTTAAACACAGTTTTTGTAACAATCCAATTATTTCTTAACTCTGTTATCAAATTAAAAATACATTGTCAAGAATATTCTTGCCATTCTAAACCACAAATGGGATGGTTTTGTTTGGTTTCTTATCAAAGCAATGAAATTTAATCCATGCAATTGCAGAGAATCTCTCTTTTTAAACTTGGTTATTTCCATAGCAAAAAAGAATTCCTCATAAAGTTAAATATAGAATTATCATATGACTCAGCCATTCCATTCCTAGGTATATGCCCAAAGAATTGAAAACAAGGACTCAAATACATACACCAAGTTCATAGCAGCATTGTCCACAATAGCCAAAGGGTGGAAGCAATCCAAGTATCCGTCAACAAATGAATGGGGAAACCAAATGTGGCACATACATACAAACGCATGACATTCTGACACACGCTACAACATGGATGGACCTTGAAAACAACATGCCGAGGGAAATAAGCCAGACATAATAGGACACATAGTGTATGATTCCTCTTGTATGAAATAGCTAGAAGAGGCAAATCCACAGACCAAAAGTGGGTTGAAGATTAACAGGGACTGGAGGCTGTTACTTAATTGGTACAGAGTTTCTATTTGGGTGATGAAAATGTTTGGAATGAGGTAGTGGGGACGGTTACGGAATACTATGCATGTAATTATTATCATTGAATTGTACACTTTAAAATGGTTCAAGTAATCAGTGGTATGTGTATTTTAGCACAAAAAATTTTTTAAATCAGGCTTTTTATTAGTATGACAGTTTTTGGCTACTGGATCAATTATAAATCTTATTGGCTTGTATTTAAAATCCCTGTAGTGACATTTATTCCCAGCATAAAACTCCAGTTTTCGATGTCTTTAAAACTTAGCCAGCATGTGACCAGCGTGCACCGTCCGGAAGCAGAGGCTGAGCCACAGCAGCCCTGCCTTGTCGCCAGCTCTCCGCTTCCTGCCTGTGTGACCCAGCCAGTCACCTGTCCTCCCAAAGCCTGAGTTTCCACTTCATATGATAACGACATTAATTATTTCATGGGGTTGTTGTAAGGATAGAATGTGTTGTAAGTGTTATGAGCTTAGTACCGTGCTGGCGCAAAGTAAGTGCTCATAGTTAAGCTATTATTCTTATTTTTATTCAATTGACAGAATTTAGCGTTTTTTTTAAATTGATTGAGATTAAAAGAGGGAAAATGATTAAGAAGCACTAACCATTCTGAGGAGAGGAACCATACTGCATGGCTCAAAGGCGTGTGACGAAACTCAGTCCTGGAAGTTAAGAAAGGGCATGAAGCTTTCCTGAACATTCCACCATCTGAGCCTGCTGGTGGCAACTTGGGGAGGCTGGAGGAGCCCAGGCTGAGTCATTCCCAGGAGGCTTCAGCCTGATTCCGGGGAAGCCTCTGGTCCCAGCAGCTGCGAAGCACAGCTGTGGGCAAATGGATACAGTGTCTTTTGCTTTTATAATTCTGTTTGCTCTGATCCCTGGCACTGTATTGGTTTATGCTCCTGGGGTACATCGCCAGTTCAGGCACCCAGACCTTCTGTTTCCCTTAGCCCTCCAGCCTCTAAACAACCTTCCCACTCCAGACCCCAGCAACATACAGGCAGGGGTCTGAAATGGCCACTGAGTTGGTCTGGATTAACATCCACTTTGAAGGTGTCAGGCCTGATAGGAAACTATTCCAGGGAGAGGAGGGAGCCTGGGGCAGGGGAGCAACAGCTCTCCCATCATAAACAGACCCCTCAGCTGTCACAGCTTTGGTTTCCCAGGAGCCCAGCGGGCAGGAGTTTGGATTCGAGATGTAAAGATACAGAGTTGACAGCTTGGCGGACATGGTGTCCTGATTGCTCTCCTCCGTGTGAGTTGCCGTTGCTGGTTGGAGGCTGGTATTTTCCTCTCTGTGTTGTGTAGCACTCGGCCCTTCCCTGGGAAGAGAGAGCACATTTTTTGCTCCCCTTATTCACCACTACTTTGGCATCAGTACAGAACACTTCATATAAGGGACCACAGTGCCTGAAGAATCTTGGAAATTTGTTGGGGGCAGGGGCTTGTGGGGGCAGGGAGTGGCTGTAAGTGAGAACACACACTGTAAAGACTGGAGCCCGGGAGAGTCTAGGGGCCCCTCTCCAGCCCCCTGGGCAGAGCAAGCACACCCCCAGGGACAGAGAGCAGGAAAACAGAAAGCTCCCACAGCCCCAGAATGAACGAAGAATTCCTAAGTAAAAGTGACCCAAAATAATGCAGTGTTCCACTAACAGCTGAAGGTGTAGAAGAGAACTTGTGAGATTTTTAAGTCATAACTGTATGTTAGGATACCCTGGAAGTTCATTTTCCCAATTCAAAGTTGTTTGTTTTTTTCTGATTCAAAAGTACATTAACGGTTGTTTAATGGCTATAGACTTTCAGTTTGGAAAGACAGAAGAAGTTCTGGAGGTGGAAGGTGGTGAATGTTGGACAGTTTGATTATATTTCATACCACAGAACTGTACACTTAAAAAGGAGTAAAGTAGTAAATTTCATGCTATGTATATTTTGCCACATCAAAATCCATTTTTCTATATTCAGAATCTTATAATAACCTTTAATGAAAAAGAACATGAAAACAAATATATGTCTATATATGCATCACTGGGACATTATGCTGTACACCAGAAACTGACACATTGTAACTAACTATATACTTCAATTAAAAAAATTTTAAGTACTTTTATTACTAGACACCTACAAACCTTTTCATTCATTGAATACAAATTTATCTCCTTGTTTTTATCCATTTTATCTCTGCGGCTTAGGTAAGCTCTGGTTCTGCTGACTAGATTCTACTCTAACTAGTTATGTGACCTTGAACAGGTCATTTCACCTTTCCGGTCTTCAGCTGCCTCACTTGTAACAGGAGAAATTTGAAAAGAATTGTCTGCTTACAGCCCTGATGGTCAAGGATTAGCATTTATTGAAAGTGTGCCATGTACCAGGCTTTCTGCTACACATTTTATCCGCATGACCTCATTTAATCCTCACAAAGATCCCATGAGGCTGGTATAATTATCCTCATCTGACAGAGAGGAATCAGAGGCTTAGAAGTTTCAGTGACTTGTCCACTTTCAGCAAGCAAGTGGGAGGAGAGGGATTAGGGCTTAGGTCCATGGGACCCCTGAGCCCAGGCTCTCAGCTGCTGTTCAGTCCTGCAGCAGGACGGATGTCAGAGCCAACCCACCACGAATCTCTCTCCCTGGAAAAACCATTAGCCAGAAAATAAGACCTACGTCCAGCCAGGAGCTGGTTTTGCTGTGCTTTCTTATTCCCCTCGGCGACAATGCTGCAGTCTCCTGGGGGATGGAGGGCTAAGGGCACAGGCAGGAAGCGGGACAGGCAAGCTGGCCAGCCTGCTGGCTCCTGCAAAGTCAGGTCTTCACAGTAAGTTTCATTATTTTGCCCTAAACCAATTGAAAGCTCCCCAAATTAGATACATCCTTATTCCAGCATTACTTTTAGATTATGCTTCCTCCTGTTCTCCACATCTAATCCAATCAAGAGTTGGTTGCCTGAGAATCCGGGCTCTGAAGCAGACACCAGCTAACTCCCAGCTAAGCAATGAAGATTCACTGGCCTTCAAATACTCTCTAAGTCTGTTTTAACAAGGACCTACTGTAGAGCATAGGGAACTATGTTCAGTGTCTTGTAATAAACTATAACGGAAAAGAATCTGAAAATATATATGTGTATAACTGAATCCCTTTTGCTGTACACCTGAAACTAAAATAAATCAACTACACGTCAATCAAAAAATAAAAATTTTTTAATGTAAAAAAATAAATGCTTAAGACTATTTTAAAAAACCAAATATTCTTTAAGTCTGTTTTAACCATGATTTGTTTTGTCCCCCTCAACCACAACATTAATTAGGACTCTTGGCGAGAAGCACTTTGGGCATGTCCGTGTGTTGCCAGTGACCCTCAGCCAGAGAAACAGGAAAACAAAGCAAGAAAAGGCAGCAACAGTACAAATGAGCGTTGGCTGCTTGCGGGATATTGCAAAACCATGGAGTATTTGCATGCATTTGTTGACTAAAATCATTGAAAATCAACCTAGGAATTAGATAACAACAACAACAACAAATCATTGGAACATCCGTGCAGTGACGTTGTGTAGACATTAAGAGTGAGTCAGATCTCTAACAGGGAAAAGCACTGTCTAAATCAACGGACATACGAAGCTTTGGAAGTTGAAGCCAAGTTGAGCAATCATCCTTGCAGACATGGGGACAGATCTGAAAACAGTAAGAAGATCCTTAAACAAGAAGCAACCAAAGCCACAACAAACAACCCAGAGAAAGAATCGCATAGGACGCCATAGAGGAGCAACTCGGGTGCTAATAACAGGCATCTCAACCCAACCATGACTTGCTCCTCAGCACCCCAGCGACTAAGGCTGCTCCCCAGGGCTCAGTGATGGGGAGCTCCGCTGACCAGTGTTTGTATTCTGGTATATTTATTTGCTCTTAAGATACTAAACACACACACACACACACACACACACACACACACACCACCCTCTCATTTCTTAGGATTCAAATATTCTCTTTTTTTTCCTATAAAGTCCATAATTTAAAAGGCCGTTGGTGATACTTTTATGTAGAGATTTCAGCATTAGATACTAACTACCAATAACCAAAATCTGGTACCTGGTGTGAGTAAAACCCAGTAAGTAGCACTATATGAGTTAGTTACAGCCACATAACAAATTAACCCAAACCTTAGTGACTTAAAGCAAGTTATTATTTATTGTCTCTCATAGTTTCTGTAGGCCAGGCATGTGGGTGACAGAGGGAATACAGTTTTATCTCTGCTCCACAAGGACTGGGGCCTCAGCTGGAAGGCTTGCAGTGTGAAAGCTGGAATCATCTGAGGGCTCGTTCACTCTCACGTGTGAAAATTGATGCTGGCTGTCAGCTGAGGGCTTGACTGGGACATCGGTTAGAACCTCCACACATGGCTTCTCCATGCAGCCTGGGCCTCCTCACAGTGTGGCAGCTGGGATCCGCCGGCAAGCATCCCCAAAGAGAGAACCAGGAGAAGCTGTGTCCTTACTATGATCTAATCTGGAAATCACACAGGTTTGCTTCCACCATACTCCATTGATCAAGGTGGTCACAAGCCCCTACCCAGACCGAAGTGGAAAGAACACAGACTCATATCTCAATGGGATGGACATCAGCCACACAGTAAGAAGAGCATTTAGAGAGGGATATGTGTGTAGGTGTGGCCATCTTTGGAAAATACAACCTACCCTTACAGAATTCTGCTTTAAAGCTGATTTTTGTAGGAAAATGCTCCATGGTGCAAAGATTTCATGTACAAGAAAGTCTTAGGTGGATCCTAACAGACAAAGTTGGAACATTCGGTGTCTGGTGACATGGTAGGAGATAGGGTTAGGAAGGTACATTAGAGCCAGATGACAGAGAGTCCTAAAGGACACATTGAAAGTGTGCTCTTTATTCCAGGGACACTGAGGAACCACAGGAGTATTTGCAGCAAAGATTGCCCTCATGGCCCTGGAGAGGATGGATTAGAGAAAGGAGAGGCAAGAGGGAGGGAGACCAATTGGGAGCTCATTAAAGTGGTCCAGGTGAGACACGTCAGGAATCTGGACAGTGACATTTATCTACATCTCTGAGCCGCCAGCCTATACCATCGGTCCAGTTTGCTCCTCTCTAGTTTTAAATTCAGCAAAGACCCCAAATAATTTCAGCATCTACTATTAATAGGTTACAGGTCTTAAAGACTTACCTTTGATATATAGTTTTGTATTTGTAATCATCCACATATAACATAAAGCAGCTTGCCTTAAAATTATATCTACTTATCACATGGCAATGAAATTTTATAAAACATTGATTTTGCTTACAAACCCCACAAACTTCCTCCTACAGCTTTGGATTTGTTTTTAGTGTAGTACTTGTATTCATTACTCAGGGTCCCTGTGTCCTCCTTTTCTGACTTTGCTTAACCCTTAGCATAAGCCAAAATCACTGAGCAAATTATGTCTCTGGCTCTCTAGAAACTTTGACTGCTGGCTGAACTATGATTCAGCAGTTCTAGGGGTCCATCGGGTGGGGGGAGGGGCAGGGACATGTCACAGACATCTCTAAAAATCTGATGACAATTTACAGGGAGTACAGGCACCCCCAGGTGAGCTTGTGCCATGAGACAGGAAATAGCTTTGGGGTGCTGGCCTGAATCCACAGGGTCATGCGAATCAGCTGGGAGTTGACACCCAAATTAGGTCCGAGTGGTCATGGGTACTCCAGCCCCTGCAATGAAGGCACCATCTGAGTTGAGGCAGTCACTCTTCTCTTTGAACTTGAGTTTCTCAAGATGAGAATGGTAATGAAGACACTTACCCTCTGGAAGCAGTGTCCTGATGTTCTGACCATCTGCTTCAGAATCTGTGTTCACTTATGTGCACGTTCAAGGCAAGTGTAACCTGTCCTTTCAACCAATTCTGCTGAGGCTGCTTTTATAACTCTGACTGGTAGTTTCGTTTACTCTTCGATTGCTTTATTTAAACTCAAATCTAGTTATATAAACACACCTCAGCACAATTTATAGGCTGGCGATCCTTTGTATCATAGCTGGCTTGTTTTTCTTCTTGAAACAAACTCTCGAGTCTACACTTTGTCAGGTTGATACATGAGTTTGGGGACTGTTTATACCGAAACCATACACACATTCCAGAAACATGCCTTGTTACTGATCTGAAATAAAGATGATGAGCTTTTGACTTGTAAAGAGACACTCAAGAAATCGTTTGAAGTGCACACTCTGATCTATTACTAAGAGGCACAAAGAGTTGCTCAAAACTTGCTCTGCTGCTTTATGAAGAGGCGGGAGTTAGGGAGAGAGCAACTTTAGATCAATATGGGAGAGAACGTGCTGATGATACAAAATTTTCCACAATGAACGGGGCTGGGAATCTCTAATGAGAGACTTTCTTCACAGGGGAAATGCTTAAGCAGAGCTGACTGACCATCTTCAAGAAATGGTAGGAAAGGATTCAGTCAACCAATAGGAAAGAAGATGGCTTTGGATGTCCCTTTCAACTCAAATATCCTATCTTAAATTTCTCCAATAAGCCTTTGAGAATGAAGACAGGATTGTGTTAATGACTCAGTCCTAAGCACAGATCTTTTCACCCAGTGAATGTGGCGATCCTACTGTGAGCGGGGGTGACGTAGGGGTTCATGTATATAGTGATACACTGGGTGTTTTAATGCCAAGTGAGGAGACCAAAAAAACACATTTCTAAGCTTTCAAAACACAGACAAATTGTACTAAATAAGTAAATATCTGTGGCATTTCCTTTCCAGGGCTGAGAAAGCAAAGCTGGAAGTGGCAAAGTTTACTTCGCCAGCCTGTCAGAGACGTCACACTGTTGGGACAGGGATTTCAGTAAAGGCCAAGTCTAAAGCAGTGAGGAGGGAAGGGGCGTTCTTGGTCCCTTTGGAAGTGACTGACCTTCACAGCATGCTGACCATCAGACTAGCGCTAGGATACACGAGATGCAAATCAGTCCCTGAAGTGCGATGGTACATATTCATGACAAATAAGCCTGAATATCATTACCTGGTCTCTTCAGAACCTCTCGTGGATCAGCACATGAAGAGTGATAAAGTTCAGAAGCTGTCTTCTAATAATAAGACACATATACATATGCATATATACACTACATGTGAGAAAGATATACATATACGAACATATATAGAGCTGTATCTATATACATATGAACATGTATATATGAATATTGTTGACTGAAGTAAATGCACAACCTAGAAGTTGAGAGTTATGTTTATTTGGTGGACATTTCTGAGGACTCGAGCCTGGGATGACAGCCTCTCAGATAGCTCTGAGGGACCGCTCTGAAGAGGTAGGGGAGGAGCCAGGATATATAGGAGCTTTACAACAAAGACCAGGTAGTTTGAACATTAAAGATCACTTGTTAACTGAAGAAAACCAGACACCTCAAGTTAAAGAATTTAGCGTTTTTCTATGTATAGGAGGGAGCCAAAATTTGGGCTCATTGAAATCATTCCTTTGACAGGCAGCTAGCTATTGAGGGCCAGTGTCCTGTCCTTTCACATTCTGAGTCCCCTCAGGCTGCAGAAGCCAGGCTACCTGCTTGTCTGCACTGCGAGGGCTGGTAGCAGTGGCTGATGACTTGATGGCTTCAGCATTCTTTGTTTACTGATATGGTTTGCAGTATTTTTCATTCATAATATGTATATATGAATACATATATGAATGAATATCTATATAATGTATATATATTTAATCATGAATGAATTCCTTCTGCGGGTACTACAGAGAGTAAAAATACAGAGATGCTTTTCTTTTTTTTGGTGGGGGGAGGTCATTAGATCTATTTATTTATTTATTTACTAGCTTTTTTTCAATGGAGGTACTAGAGATTGAACCCAGGACCTCATGCATACTAAGCATATGCTCTGCCATTTGAGCTACATCCTCCTTCCAAAGTACAGAGATGGAATTGCACTCTTGTTGCTTTCTTCTACGTACTGCCAGCTTGTACCCTGATATGTGCTGGACAGATTTTGCTTTTGCCTGCCCAGTGTCCAATCCCCTATTTCTATAAACAACCCCTTTTCCTTCGGGAAACCACACATGCCTACTCTTGGGTGATTCTGGAGGGGCAGACCCCACTCCCAGCTCCAGGTAGGAGCCAGTGGCCAGGCCTGCCAGTCATTAGGATTGGAAATGTGACGTAAAGTAGGCTTGTGAAAGCCAATCCGAGGGCTTCGGGGAGAAGGGTTTTTGAAGGAATAAAGTACTAGTTTTTCCACTGAGGTTGCTGAGTTAGTCGGAAGTAAGCCTGGAGCTGTCAGGGTACCACCTAGAGATGGACATCTTGAGAATGAAGCCAACAGAAGGGAAAGGAGAGTTAAAGACAGAGAAAGGGACCATATTTTGATGACAGCCTGGACTCAACCAGGACTAAAGCTGTTCCATCTCTGAGCCAATAAAATTCTTTACTTTACACCCATTTGAGTTAAATTTCTATCACTTACTATCTCGAGAGACTTAGTGAATCAGAGCAAAAACCAAGCAATAATGTTGCTCTATGAAGAGCTCAGTCCTTTCCCCCAGAGTGGCACATGCCCAGGTGTCTGTCTGGGCTGCCTTGAACAGGACCAATGAGAAAGTTTCAACTTGGTGATCACTTTGAGACTTTCTGATTCAAGTCTTAAACGCTTATTGTCTGAGCTTCAGAGATGCAATTATATTTTTAAAAAATATTATTTGCTTTTCAGTAGCAAAGACTCATGAGTCATTGGGTCTGAGTAGTGATTTTGGAAATATAAGTGGTTTAGCAAGTGACTCCCAATGCATGCTTGAGGATTCATATATATATGAATATATTTGTCTTTAAAAAATAATGCTCATTTTGACTTGACTTTTTGCATTTGTTGAAATAAAGCAGGTTTGCATGATCTCACGTGGATTGGGTTTGGGCCTGGGCTATGCATTTCTTTATCCTGTGCTAGCTCATGCTCTTTGTTCTCAGTTTATGATGAAGTGTGGAAATCTTAAGAAAATTATCTCATGCTGAGGTCTAGGGGAAGCAGTTGGCCATGGTGAACATTTGGAAGTTTGTTTCCTCTGAAGGATTATGAAGTTTCTAAATTCACTTTACTAAATATATATATATTTAATTTGCATCCAATTAGAGAAAAGAGCTGGGTAGAGGCTGGAGCATGCGATATTAATTCATTAATTCCGGGGTCCGAGTGGGAGATTATACACAGCCATTACCCAGAAGAATGCATTTAAATTGCTCTAATCTACAAATTGGAGCCAGTGCTCTGTAGTCTGAAAGCTTGTAAATGTTTCCTTTACAACTTATTTCCTGCAACATTCAGAACTATAGTGCTAACGCGGTCCCACTTTTTAGAAGCAGAGGGGTGACTGGTTTTACATTTTAGAAAGCTCATCTTGATGCTGACCAGAGGATGCACTAGGAGAGCAAACGAGGCAGGAAGACAGGGTTTATGACAGACCAGTCAAGAAGTGACAAGGTGGTGACCCAGGAGAGTGGGAGCGGGTCACTAAGAAACTTTGTTTAGTAGGATGCTTGGTAGGAGGTTGAAAAGACATGTTTACCCAGACCTGTGCATGTGACCTTATTTGCAAAAGGGGTCTTTGCGGATGGGTTAAGGATCCTGACATGACATCATCCTGGATTAACCAGTTCCATCTGTCCATTTGGCATCCACTCATCACAGGGCCAATGATATTAACCATATTTTCTTATTTTCTGCCCTATTGATAATCTGGCTTTTGGAGGCCTTATAGACCCAGGAGAGACTGTCCTCCCTCCTAGCAGAAGCTAACTCCTGAAGATAATAAAGAAGATTGCTCAGGGGCACACTTTTCCTGAGCAAACCAACCAATCCTGAGTCTGCAGCCCCCACCATCTCACACACCAAGCCGTATTTCCCCTGCCCTAAAACATGCTGGGGCCAGGTGCCAGGCAACTAGAGACCCACCCCTCTAACCCAAAGCCTTTGAGAATTACTCAAACTCGCCAGTCCTAAAAGGTTTACCCTGCCCTGCCTTTGCTGCAGAAACTCCAGTGAAGACTGGGGCCTAGAATTTCCTCTCTGCTTTCCCTTCCTGCTACTGCCTCCTGACCAGTCTGGTGCCCTCCACGTGGCCCTGTGTGGCATGGAGCCCCTTTCTCTTGGGAAACTGTAAGTAACAAATTTCTTTTTTCAGTGGCATTGACCAACTGTGTCATCACTCCCGTCTCCATAGATAAAAATTCTACAAGTCCAAAAAAGAGTTGGCCCTAAAGCCAATGATAGCTGTCTTCCTAGGAGACAGAAGGGGAGAAGACATAGAGACACACGCAGGGGACAAGGCCACATGAAGAAGGAAGCAGAGATTGAAGTCGTGCTGCCACAGCCACAGAGTGCTGAGACCCACCAGCAGGAGGGATCTTTGGAGGGAGCATGGCCCCACCAACAACTCGCTTTCAGGCTTCTTCTGGTCTCTAGAACCATGAGAGAATAAATTCCTGTTGTTTTAAACCACCAAGTGTATCATTTGTTGCAGGGGCCACAGGAAAATAATGCAGCACCTACCAAGAGGCATGTCCAGAAATCACATTTCGTTTTTTCTTGTCGTAAAGGAGAGGTGTTGAGACAGTAGGGAAGGGGACTGGGCACAATCACGGAAGGAATGACACAGCAGTTGAGAGCAGGACAAACTGTTCAGGACAAGATGGCAGATGATCCAACTTCCAGGGGACCTGAGCCTCATGGCACAGCCGCAGGCTCCATGACAGTTCCTAGGCTGACCATAAAAGGGCAAAAAAGGGTGGGGCTCACACTCTGTCTGTGGAGTGTGTAACCACTTTTACTTTAAACTAAACCCCCAACACCTCTCCATCTCTCTCCTCACCTTTTGAGATGGCCCAGATCGGATTCTGCCTATGGAGCGTGTATCTCTCTAAATAAACTTAAGCTCTTGAATTCTTTCCTGTGAGAGACAAGAACCTACTCTCTGGGAACAGTATGGCCATCAGTGTTAGAGACGAAAAATCACCACCTTAAAGCAGTTTTATCTTATTCTGGAAAGAATTACTAAAAACAAAAGTTTCTCCCACTGACCTGGAAGAAGAATGTAATAAAATTTTTTGTAGGGGAAGAGAAGTAGATTTAAAATGGTTCTTTTCTTTAGGACTAGAAAGAGGCAGGGATGCAGTTACTGGGAAAGATAGGGCCATGATGGACATTGTGAGAGTCCAGCCGAGGTTTAAAAAATTTTTTTAAACAATAATAATAGCTAAAATTAATTGAGCTGCTACTATTTGCCAAACATTTTGTTCATCACTTTTTGGCATTATCTCATTCCATCCATCCAATAATTTTTTAAAGGCTTTTTGTAACTTGCTTTTTTCATTTAAGAATGTACCATGGCTATCTCCAGCTTAGTATATGGAACTCTAATTAATTTTAAAAGGCTGAATAACATTCCATAGTGCACTACACCATAATTTATTCTGTTGTTCCCCAACTGATGGATGTTAAGATTGTTATCATTTTTTTTGCTATTATAAACATTAGTCCACTCTTACTCATGACTAGACAAGCAAACATTCAAAATAAAATATTGGGAAAATAAATCCAGCAGTGTTTTTAAAAGATAATACATCATGATCCAGTAGAATTTATTCCAGGAAGGCAAGGACAGTTAAATATTAACATAATTTATTATATTAACAAATTTCAACTTAAAAACTATATGATTATCTCTCTCTTTTAGGGTGGGTCAGGGGGACTCTGTGTTGTACTTCTATAAAATAGCAAAGGGAGATGCCTGTCCAGGCGAATAGTGGTCTAAGTTTTGAATAATTCTTTGATCCTCAAAGTTGATAGATAAAAGCCTTTTTTTTTCTGGCATCTTCGCCGTCCTTCCAATAATCTTATGAGTGCTGTTATTGTCCCCATTTTATCGATGAGAAGCATGAATTGATACTTGTACACCCAGATGAATAAATTTTCCAGCTGTGCTGATCAGTCAGGTGTAGGAAAAAAGCAGATGGGAGGGAGGACTGATTCACAGCTGTGCCTCTGTTGGCTGAGAGGCAGGAAAAGGACAAGGGATTTAAAAAAATTTAAGGGTTTATTCATTTACTCAACAAATTGTGCAAATTGTCCAAAATTTAAAAATTAGTTCAAAGGAGGACTCAGAAGATCTAAAGTGGTGTTGTTTATAATCCTTCTGCTGTAATAGAAATGTTCTTGCATTTGCACTGTTCAATACAGTGGCCATTAGCGACATGTGGCTATTGTGCACTTGAGATGTGGTTAGCGTGACTAAGGGACTGAATTTTAAACTTTATTTGAATTTAAATAATCACATGAGCCTAGAAGCTGGCTAATATATTGGACAGCATAGATCTGTGGCATGCTGGAAAAGAAACAGCTAGAAGGGAGCTGGGAAGATGAGTGAAGGGAAGGGACTAAAGGAGTTTATCAGCTCAAAGGGCAGGTTTGATGGGCATGTGGGAGTGAGGGAGCTGAAAGGAACTTGGAGGGGGTGTCAGAGTGGGATACTAGCCTTGGAGATTTCAGAAAGGTGTCATAGCTTCATGTGGTTGGCAAGGTCCAAACTGCATCCAGGGAGCAAGTGACAGAGCTAGAGAAAAATGAAGATGAGGATCACCTTGGCATAGAGGAAGTCAAAGAAGTGATGAGTTTGGGTGTGGAATGGGCTGTCCACACTCAGTGGAAATCAGCCAGGATGGTGGTGATAATGGAAATGGAGAAAAAAGCTGAGAAGGATTGTCAAAGCCCAGTGCATGAGGCGTGGTGATCCCTGTGGACAGAAGAAGAAAGGCAGAGCTGGGGGCAGGGCTGGAAGGAAAAAGAGGACATAGGCAGAAGGCTAGAAAAGTAAAGAAATGGAGTGCATAGTGGGATGTGAGAGAAGTTATGAATAGAATTCTGTCCCCACAATATTCACATGTTGAAGCACTAACCCCCAGTAGCTCAAAGATGTGACCTTATTTGGAGATAGGACATTTATAAAGGTAATCAAGTTAAAACGAGGTCATGATGGGCACTAATCCAATATGACTCGTGTCCCTATAAAAAGGAGAAATTTGGAGACAGGAGTGCATAGAGGAAGGACAACATGGAGAGACACAGGGAGAAGGCGCCCATCTACAAGCCAGGGAGAGGGGCCTGGAAGAGATCCTTCACCCACTGCCCTCACAAGGATCCAGCCCTGCCAACACCCTAGTCTCAGACTTCTAGCCCCAGAGCTGTGAAGCCACCCATGTCTGCTCTTTAAGTTGCTCGGTTTGTGATCATTTGTAAAGGTAGCCCCAGCACACTAACACAGAGACTCCCCAGAGCCGTCTTCTGTGTACCCCGGAATTCTCTCAGAAACATGGGGCTACTCATGTTAAAAAATCAGCTTGAGGCGAGTCATCGATCTGATTCTCACTCTTCAACTTTTTCCTCTTTTTCCCTCCTGGCAAATAAAGACTTGTTTGCAGGCAGCCAACAGTCCAATAATTAAGGGGGTGGGGAGGGGAGACACCGAAGTGGCAAACCACACATTGTCCTTGTTTATTTGAGTGACATGCTGCGCACATTTCTCCAGCCTCCCAAGGGCCAGAAGAGTAAACGGCCCGCAGTTGTCCTTGGGAAGGATTGTGTTTGTAAACTGGGGACAATTTATTTGTTTAGTTAAGATATATGCTGAATACTGGTGTCCAGGACTCAAATGCCTCTGGTGTTTTTATTCCTGTAACCCTGGCTGCTTCACCACGTTTCCTCACATTCTCTTCCCCTCCACTTTCTTCCATCACCCCACCCCTACACTAAGTAAACATGCTTTGTGTGCACCTTGGGGAAAGCAAACAAAGATGGCTCAGATTCAGGACAAAAATCCTCTTTTCTACTTGCCCTCCCTCCCAGCCCTGCCCTTCTCTCTTCCTGCGTTCCGCATCTCCGCTTTAACTGAGAGGTCCTGAGAGCTTAAAGGCCACTCTCAAATCCCAGAGGAGGACATCCTAACAGTGACCACAGATATCAGAGCTCAATTCGATCACCTCTCAGAGGAAGCAGGAATATTTAAAATCTGTATCAATAAAGCACCAGAAAACAGACTGACAGAGGACTGCTTAGCATCTCCTTAGACCATTATTTTTTCATTGATTTTTCCATAGTTAACAGAACACAGACCATCAAGGAGTTATTGGAAAATTGATAAAAAGGAATTAAAATGTACTTGGAAACTATGAAGTTCTGTATAAATTGTAAATCACCTTTCTTAGCTGAGCTTGCTCCTCCGCATGGGGTTTTATCCTCCATGCTTTTCATCATTTCTCATTATCGTTCATTGAACGCAGCTGACTGTTCAATTCTGCATCTTCTCTATCAACCTGTAAGCCATGGACACTATGACTGTACGCTGAGGGAGTTTATTTTGCAGAAGGCTTATAAGACCTTTGAGAGTTCTTCTGCTTCAATAGAACCTTTTGTGGGATGAGGGGGAGAATAGATTGGATAGATAAATATAGATGTATGCTATAATGTCTGGTCCAAGAACTTGTTGTTATTACATAAATGACAATTAAATAGAGTCTGGAGACCAGAATGGGGCACTCCCATCCATGTTCAGCTACAACAGCACAGCCCAACAGGAAGAAGAACGATGACTCTTCTTTCTCGGCAAGGACTCAGCCAATGGAAAGCCATGAGCTCCTTGTTTACTACCGCCTTCCCAACTTCCTTTTCCTCTCTAGAAAAGCCTTCTCCTTCCCTTGCTTGCAGAAACTCGCCCGTGGCTCATCATGGCTGCAGACTCCCGAATTGCAATTTTCTGCTCATCTCGAATACAGCCATCTTTGCTGGAGAAACATCTGGCAATCTATTTGTTTCAGGGCAACAATGTAAAAATATCAATATAGACCAGCGCTCAGCAAACTTTTTTTGTAAATGTAGCCTTTGCAAGCCACATACTCTGCCGTGTATTCTTTATTCTTATTACAACATTTATAAATGTAATAACCATTCTGAGCCCTCAGCCTATACAGAAACAGGCCACAGGCCGTAGTGTGCCAACCCTTGATATAGGCCATCCAGATGAAAATATTTATTTGTATTTGGAGTTTCACAGAAAATCTTACCAATGATGACAGTGTGTCATAAGTAGGAAAAAGGAAAATAGAAATGTTTACAATGTTATTCAGAGTAATAATTAAGAATAATCTGCTCTGAGCATCTCAGGGCCACTTTTTTTAAGCAAATGATTTAAATGTTAAACGTTTAATATTTAGATTTCCAAGGTTAGCTTTTAGCTTGGGGGAAAAAAAACCCTTCATTTGGCTTTTCTCATATCAAATTAGAATTTTACTTTTCTTATTTTCAAATGTATATTTTTTTCGTTTCCAAAGAGAAAAATAGCCTTCTCCACTGAAACTTCTTTCATGACAGACTGAGACGAGTGGAGTAGAAGGACTGTGCTTCACCAAAACCTGTTTGCTAAAAGCAGAGAGACTCAA